GGCCCAGGCGGCGCCCGCCGCGGGGTCTGGGCTTCGTGCGTGAGAAGCTGCGGCGGGAAGTTCCCAGGCCCGGGATGTGTGCGGGGTGGGGGAAACCTGGGCCCGGCTGCGGGGACATCGCGCCGAGGAGCTGGGGAGAGGAGTTGGGATGCAGAAACTTTTACGATGTCTTGTCTTGAACATCCCCACGAAAGCACGAGAAAGGCCAGAGGGGCGAATGAGTCACCAAAGTTGCCTGCCAAGCGGGGTCCCGCACCAGTCCTCGGCTCCTGCTGGACCCCCACCCCACCCCACCCCCCGGGCGTGGGCGAGCATTCCTAACCCCTCCGACCCAAGCGCCCGCCAGATGCCAGAGCGCGCGCGGCCTCTGCGCTCCCGCTGGAAAAGGGGGGAAACATCCCCTGCGGGCAGTGGTTTGCCCAAGATCGCTTCTCTACTCTCGCCAACTCTTGGCGCGCACTTGCGACTTTTCATCCTCAACTGAGAATATTCAGTGGTCTGGATGCACGCACATTGTCTTCCTCACTCTCCGCCACATCTCGAAGAGATTTAAGGAGCTTTGAACCGGTGCTCACAAAGGGAAGACCTTTACCTGTTGAAAACTGACTCGGGATGGAGAACGGCCCACTCCGGCGGCCCACTTTCACCTTCCCCACTAACGTGCACACTCTGTTGAAGGGAACTGTTCAGAATCCGCAAGCCCGGGAAAGTGCCTCGTCTAGCAAGCAAACCCATGGCTCAAAATTATTTAGGTCAGGAAGGCTCAGATAAGACACACAGTAAAAGATCCCAGTTTAAAGTCGCTTGGACTTCTTGAACTGCCTTAGGCACTTCAAAAGGGAGTCCACTGGGCAACCTTTGTTTATCAACACTACCACAAAAGAAAAGGCACACCCTTCAGAAATGGGTGGACACCCGCCCGCCTGTAAGGGAGTGAAAGCGGGGAAACTTAGTCAAATGCCAGAGGTTTGGGGGTGGGAAAAAAAAAAGGGAAACCACTCTCCTTACACTAGCTATTCATCATGGAAGAAATGATGCCTCTGGCCAGGCTTGCCACTCTAGTTACATCTACGCTTCAAGGAGTTCACTTGGAATCAGTGCTGTTCAGGGTGGGAAAGAGTTGGTGGAAGTGTGGTGTTGGAAAAAATATAGGAGAATATTTAATGATGTAGAGAATCACTCAAGTAAAAAAGTCTGTACAAGCAGGCATATAGGGCTCATGCCTTTAATTCCAGCACTCGGGAGGCAGAGGCAGGTGGATCTCTGTGAGTTGGAGGTCAGCCTGGTCTACAGTGAGTTCCAAGACAGCCAGGGCTATTAGATTCTTTCTAAAGCAAACAAAAATCTGTAGAAAACGGTACATGCAGCTATAAAATCACGAACTCACCCAGTTTGAAAAATTCGGACAAAAAAAAAAAAGACTAAAAGGAAATCCTCCAAGTGTTAGTGAGTGTTGGGGGGGCGGGTCATGAGGGGTTTGGAGGTTTCGTTTTGTTTGGTGCCTCATCATGGACATTTCTGTCACCGCCAAGAACTACATTCAGTGTTACATTTCCTCTGTGTGATGGACGGACTGTCTAGGGCAGCTACCAGATTCTCAGATTTTTTTTTTTCAGAGAGAGAGAGAGAGAGAGAGAGAGAGAGAGAGAGAGAGATGTGTGTGTGTGTGTGTGTGTGTGTGTGTGTGTGTGTGTGTGTGTGTGTGTGTTAGCCTCTCCAAATAAGAGTTATACCAATTCAAAACAAATATCAAAGAATCAGTGATCTATCCCATTGAGAAATCTCATTATTAAGGAAATCCCTGTGTGAACATTTTACACATCTGTTTGCTTCCTCACTTTATCCCCAAAAGATTTGTGACATGGGCTGGAGAGATGGCTCAGCGGTGAAGAGCACTGACTGCTCTTCCAGAGGACCTGGGTTCAATTCCCAGCATCCACACAGCAGCTCACAACTGCCTGTAACTCCAGGGTCTAATATCCTCACACAGACATACATGCAGGCAAAATATCAATGCACATAAAAATAAAAATAAATTATAAAAAAAAGATTTGCGGCAACGTATAAGGATTCACAAACTAGGAGGTAGAGGACATTAGAAAGGGCACACACACACACACACACACACACACACACACACACACACACACACACAGGATGTGGAGGCTTTGAAGGGTAGGGTAGAGAATTAAAATGGAATCAGGAATGAGGCCCAGAATCATTCCTAATGACCTGTGCGTATGTTCCAGTAAGCCCAGAGTGAGTAGTTTCTCTAGCATGCCTTTAGAACCAAAAATATCCATGTCCTTTCTGACTATTCCTTTTCCCCAGACAAACTTGTTGAAGCCAAGTGCGGTGGTTCAGAGCCCTCTCATGCCTCAGCTTCCACATTTCAGCTGTCTCCCTGTGAGCTGTTTTCTGAACAACCTTCCACTCTAGTGCCTGCCACTTGGATGACCATGTTTCTTTAATTGACTTCAGTAAATATTCCCTACAATTATCGAGAGGGTGGGGGTGTGTTTAATATTGCAAATAACTGCGCCATTTAAATTATAGTTTTACAGGAGACTTTAGGCTACCTTAAAAAGCCAGCAGGAATGTTTGAATGGTGTAAAGCACCAGGAGGCAGAGACCCCTGGTTAAATTCCTTTGGAGGAATAATTAGGGTGGGTGCAGCCGATTCTTTCAGGACTGTGCTTTGAGTATTTCAAGCTGTTGCTGCTTTTGAAGACTAAAAAGGAGCCAAAACTCAAACCTTTGAAACTAGGATATTTTCCCCTTCTCGTTCATCAAGTGAGGTCTTCAAGTGCATTTCTTAAATAGTTACTTCTACCTAATGTTTTCTAACGTATTTAAATGTAGACTCTTAACTGAACACCCCCCCCCCACACACACACACACACACAAGAACCTCTAGGACAATGCAATACTTGTGGTACTTACATCATGCTGAAAAGTAGCCGAGAACTCCAGTGTTTGGAAGAACAGCTCAGGCTTTGAAAGCAGCAATATCCAAATAAGGTACCAAGCACTGGGCTTAGATTTAGACCAAATGATACCTCACAGATCTGTCCTCAGATGCAGCTCTGGGCTTGGTAATCCTCAGGTTGACTTCGGCTTTTTCTTTGGACCTACTTATGGCGTCCTTTAAAAGTTACTCTGAAGTATTGATACTACACACAGTCATGGGTTGAAAGGAGAGAGGGAGAGAGGGAGAGAGGGAGGTTTCAAGCCTGAACATATGAGATGGGGCTTGACATTTAATATGAGGCCAGCAAGATGAACGAAATATAATGGACTATTCCTATCGAATACCGGGTAAGCAGATTGCCAGGGACGAAAAGACGAAAAGCTCCCAAGAAGACAGAAACCAAGGAATGTAGGGTAGGGAGGAAGGTAACGCAGCCGCTGTTTTGGTATAAGTGGTTAGGCCTTGTGGGGTGGGACAGGAGGTGGGGGAGGGGAAGATGAAAAAGACTGGTAAACTATGATGAAAAGAAAACAGTATAAGCAAAAGCATAGGTCTGTTTTCACACAGACCAAAGGAAGGGCTCTGAGATAACAATGCAATCTCCTCTCCAAGGGAAAAGAAACACACATTCCTTGTATTTACTGTTCTCATTTCAGAACGGTTTTTTATTTCATTTATTTTTGTTTATTTATTTTTTTCTAAAGAATCACGTGGGGTTTTACTTTTCCTGTCTCCCCCTCTGATTTAAGTTTGAGTGTTTGAACAGCAGGATAGGTCATGAACTTTGACAAAATACCCAAGGTGCATAGACACTCATAACAGCATGGTCGTAGTTGTGTGGTTAGCAGTGTGGGGTACTGAAATAAACAGGCAGATGGGGATCACACCCCAGTCTCCTGAGGCAGCAGGCTCATATTTAAAACATCAGAAAGATTACCCATCCAGGAGTGAGGTTAGACCCGTCCCTCACACTACACACAAAAAGTGAACAGAAATGGATCGTAGACGTGAAATGTCAGTTTGAAAACTGCAACACTCTTGGAGGAACCTCAATCCTGGCCCTCCAAAACCTGGGATAAGGCAGGGGCTTATCGAGTAAGACATAAAAACAGAAGTCACAAAGGAAATTAGGTGAATTGGGTTTTATCACAATAGGAGGGGCAGGGTCTGTAAGTCTGTGGCAGAATACCGGTTTAGCATGTGTTCTAACCAACACAGGTTCAGTACCAGCACCCAGTGCAGAGCGGCTCACAAATATCTGCAACTCTCGTTCCAGGGAATCTAACGCCCTCTTCTGACCTTTCTGGGCATCAGGCACATACATGGTACCCAGACATACATACAGGCAATATGCC